CTGTAAATTACATGGGAAAATATTGCCCATCTTTGTCTCACTGAGGCTTTGGTGGATTTGAGCTGTGAAAGATGTGCCACCTTGGGATTATCAGAGCAACTCCTTGTGGATCAAGGTACCAGAGTCTTTAGTTTCCGTCATCCTTTAGAGTGGGGAGAGACCAAGATTTCATTTATACTTGACAAAATAGGATCAATATTTTCTCTATAAATTTTGCCAGTTGATCTGGATATTCCCTGAGACTGTAAACTATGAAGCCCAATAAGGACTTCTACCAAGCTGCTTGTTTATGGCTAAGAATGTTTCATAACTTCACATTTTCTTCCCATGCATTACTATATACATGGATATATTTGCAGTAATGCAAATACATATGTAGAAAGATCCTCTACTAAATATATAAATTCTTGTGATATTACCTTGTGATATAAAAACCTTTGCATAATTGTTCTTCCAAATTTGTGCATGTATTGCTTCATAGATTATTTTGTATTATTGAAAGATTGAGCTGTTGTTGTTGAGTGCCATTGAGTCGTAGATGACTCATACTGACCCTCTGAATGAAAGACCTGAACACTTGTATAACTTTCATTGTTTCTCCAAGTTCATAGAATTTCCAAGCTATTTCAGTGGTGGATGCCACTCCTGCTTCCAAGCTTGTTTTAATCAGGGAGCTCCGCCAAACACTGTCCACCATAGGTAACCATGATCGCATTTGACACATCAGTGTCACAGAGTCTAGCATCAGATTGAGTACTAACAGTATTTGCCTTTGTCATCTTTAACTCTTTATCTTGTGTACCACTCAGTGTCCTTTCGCATGAACCATGCAGCCTCAACTACATAGAGACCAGATGAAATACATGGTACCCTTCTACTACCACCCACTGCTCTGGGCAGGACCACAGAAGGCCCTGCACTGATGCGAGAAAGTATAGGATAATAATTTAAAAAACATTATCTTAAAAAGACCACATTGACTAGTCTGATATAGACTTGTACAATTTCTAATACTGTAGCCATTAGTTATTTTTCAGGCCTGGAACTGAAGCCAACCCTGAGGTCACCTTTTAGCCAAACAAATAATTAACATGAAAAAGAACACCTGTGAGGAACATATTCCTTAGAACATTTAAACATGAGAATAGAGTGCAATATTTGTCCCAAAACAAAACTGAGAATGTAAGAAACAAAAAGAAAGAGGATGAATAATAACAGGAACTCAGGGAAGAGGTGGGAAGAGGGCTGCTAGAATTGTGGTAATTCCAACTAATCATGGAAACAAATGTGCATAAACTGTGAACTAGAAAACTCATTTTGTTTTGTACACTTTCACCCAAATCACAGTTTAATAAGAAAAGATATACTCTATCTATTGAGAAAGTTTATCTAGAGAGCTCTTTAGAGGCAAGAATAGCGAAACTTTGTCTCACCTATTTCCATCCAGGAGGCTGCCAGGAGGGTTCTTGGAAAAGGACTTCATGCTAGCAAATGTGGAGGAAAGACAAAAGAGAGGAAGACTTTCAACTGGATGGACTGAAACAATGATTCCAACAATGAGCAAGATGAGATGGCTTAGCACCGTGTAGATCTATTGCTATAATAAGGTTGTTAGGAATCTTGGTAGACTCAAAGGCACCCAATAACAACAACAACACTAACCCAGCATCATAAGTATAACAAAAATAGCCTACTCATAAATGAGATAATAACCATAGCCAGAGAAGTTAGGATTTATTATACATATTTTGGGATGGCATGATTTGTCTCATATTCTTGTTCTTTAGCATTTTAAAGAGGTACCAGATAGCAGATTCAGTATGAAGACTAAGATACACCTTATTCAGGCCATGTTCCTCTCAATTACCTGCTGTGCATTAGAGAGATGGACAATGAATAAGGAGAAGAATTGATGCTTCTGGGTTGTGGTGCTGTACATGAGTATGCAATACTGTATGAACTTCCAAAAGAACAAAGAAGTATGATTTGGGAAAAGTTGCAGCCAGAGGACTCCTTGAAGGTAAAGATAGTGAAACTTTGTCTTTTCTACTTTGGACATGTAGCTAGGTGAGGCTATTCCTAGGAAAGAGACATCATGCTTGGAAAGATGGAGGGTCAATGACAGAGAGGGATACCCCCAATGGGATAGACTGACATGGTGACTTCAACAATGGACTCTAGCGTGATGAGGCTGGAACAGGACAGGGTAAGGTTCAGATCAGCTTTAGGTCAACAAAAACAGAGATTTTCTGAATACAATACAGTCTTCCATGGGTGTTGACTGTGGATCTGAGTAAAATGAAATCCTTGACAATGCCTTTTCCCCCTCCATATATTCTCCATATACTATGAAGCTGCCTGTTACTGTGTGGTTAATACCCTGGTTTTAATGTCCCTTGCCTGGATAAAGAATTAACCTGGTAGGAGACAAGAGAAAGATTGGTCGTGGATGAATCCCCTGGTCTTGACTTGGTTCAGCTTTCCTCAGGTTGTCTGTTCGGCTCAAAATAATCTTAGTGGGGGCCAAGACCTTGTTGGAGCAAAAGGCCAAGAGAAAGGCCAGCAGGCAGGAGTGAAGGTGAAAGTGAAAACAGCTTTATTAGAAAATATATGCCCCAAATAGCAAAAAGGGTAAGAACTCTGAAAATAAAGAGGTAGAGACAGATGTGAACCTGCTTTGTGGGTAATGTAGCAGGCTCACTTCTTCCTTTGGGCATGCTTGTGGCCTTGAGATTGGACCAATGGGATGATGTTGCAAACTCAAAATTTGGTGGATGGTTTTTATCTTGATCAATTGATTTTACCCCTCTTTTGTACCTAAAACACTAATCAGGCTGATATGCAGACAACCTCTACTGCACATGTATTGTGAGGCACTTTTGTTTAATAATACTGATTCTCTGGTTTTGATTGGCCTGGACTTGGCCTCAGTCACTTTGTTTGACCCTTCCTTTCCATTGGCTCCCACCATGAACTTCATTTGATTTTATATTACTAATATCTGTCCTAACATTTTTTCCCCACTCTGTTTTGCCTCACTTACCTAATTCTCACCCTAACACTGTCTATGGGTCTGATTGTGAGGAGTTTTGTTTTCTTAATGTTGAGTTATAATCAATACTGAAGACAGCTAAAGAGCAAGGAAGCCAGTTTAGAGACTAAGGTATTCATGACCCAAAACAAGAGACTTTCTATTGATTTATATGTGAGTGAAGACTGGACCATGAATAAGGAAGACTGAAGAAGAATTAATGCCTTTGGATTGTGGAGTTGGGGAGGAATAGTGGATATATCCTGAGTTACCAAGAGAACAAACAAAACTGTCTTGGCAGAAGTGATGCCAGGGTGCTCATTGGAGGCCAAGATGGTAAAAATTCTTTGTCTTACATACTTTGGGCAGGTTATTAAGAGAAGCAAGTCTTCTGAAAAGGACATTATGCTTAGAAAAGAAGAGGGTCGGGAAAGGAGCGGAAGACCTTCAGGGTTATGGATTGACATAGTAACTGAAGCAATGGTCTTGGAGTACTTGAGAGATGGTGAGGATGGCACAGGGTTGGGCAATATTTTGTTCTGTTGTATGGACAGTCGCTAAGCATTGTCATCACTTTGCAGGCACCTAACACAAAAACAACCACTCTACTTCTTGGAGGGTAGAGAATATCATACTCTAAAGGAATTGGACTTCTGGATAAAGTCTCCACTTAGGTCTTCCCTAGGGGTGGGTGGGAAAAAGGAAACAATATATTGTTTGAGCCCATAATTTCATAGAGTTAATGAGGTACAACATAAGAGTAAAGTAGACATGTGCCAGATGAGGGATTAGAATAAATGATTAGTGGTGATCATGCAGAGATCTTTGTTCCACTCTCCCCTGTTATTTTAGAGAACCACTGGTAAAAATGGAACAGCACTGCAGTCCCTTACTGAATAGAACAATTTAATAGGGACATAGTCAATTATCTACATAGAAACCAAAGTCTTTAAAACCATATATTTGAAAAAACAAAACCAGCCCAGCCCTATGGTTTCTCACCACAGATAAAGTCCTAAATTCTGCCAGGGTGTCTAAGGCTGAGGACAGTCTGGCCTCCCTCCCATACTGAAATCTATCTCCCATCCTGGGCTGTCAAGGATGGTCCTCTTGCTTTTCTCAAAGTCCTACCTCAGAGCCTTTGCACTTGCATTTTCCTCTGCTTGAAAGCCTTCATCCCAGATGTTCACAGGACCACCCTGATTCCGCATTAGAGGCTTCTTCTGGAGTTCTCTAGTAACATAGCACCCAACCACTCTAAATCCACATTCTCACCCACACTTTCACATACTGTCTCATTCACATGCATGTTCCACATTCATTCACACACAAGCTCATATATACTTATACTCATTCACATCCCTTCACACACATACACTTTCTCACTTGCTTTCATTTGGTCACTTTGTCCTGTGCCCAGTAACACACATTCACAGGCATGCTCAACCACTATTTCAAATATTCACATGCTGTATTACTCTCTTTTAAGCTTTATTGTTCTTAATACTCTATTCTATCAGCTGATAAAGTATTTTTTAAAAAATTGTTTGTCCCATTCCATTCTGAAAGAATTCTTAGGAAATACTGATTTTATCTGTGTTAATCATTCCTGCAGCTCCAATGCCTACAATAGTAATCAACACCTAGTAAGAGTGAATAAAGTATTTTTAGAATAAGTAAATGAATGGTTAAGGAGCCCTAGTGTTTGGTAGTAAATAAATCAGTGTGCTAAACTGAATGGTCAAAAGTATGACACCACAGGCTGGTCTGAAAGAGAAAGAGAGTCTCCTCTCATATGGATTTATAGATTCAGATGGGAATCCAATGGAGGGAAATGGGTTTACATGAATGACTACCCTTAGATCACCAAAATAAATCACTTATATCCCTAGCACTGCATAAGTTCACTATTCTTTACTCAGTAAATCAATGGAAAGGGAAAAAAAATCAGAATTGAATGAGGCCATACCTATTAATATAGAACAATTGCACAACTCCTGGGTTCCTTAAATTGTGATGAATCTCATTGGTCCAGTGGCATGAAAATGTCTCTAGTTCAGGGGAACGGCACTTGGTGAATGTAGACTCCCCAGAAGAATCTGCAGAATGAAAAGAGAAGGCCAAACATGAAATCAGGAGAGTAATGCATGTTTTTAGTGCAGCACATATTTAGCAGGTGAGGAGGAACCTACAGAAATGAGGCCAGGAGCAGATGCTGTAATGAGGAGGTGATGCCAGCATCTGTTTTCTTTGATTAAATTACAGAGCCTGCTGCGTGCCAGCATGTCACATCTTGATTCCAGAGACAAACAGATTGCTAGTGTTCTTTTTTCCTTGCAATTAGTTTTGCTGTTTTTTTTTTTTTTATTTTACACTGGTTTATGCACAAAGTTTGTATATATTGCCCCTCATACTGGATCCCCCCAACTCCTCAGCCTATCTCCCTGTCCATCAAACCATGCGACCTCATGATTACTACCCTGTCCATACCCGCCTCTTGCCCCCCCAACTTAAATCCTCACACACATTCTACTAGTTGTTATCTATTTCTACAATAATAGCGTTATACAGTATTTGTCCTGATGAGAATGAGTTAGTTCACTTAGCATAGTACTCTCCAGTCCCTCCCAAGTTAGGTAATGATTCACAAATTACTCCTATGTGTATCATTCACAAATTACTCCGAAGTTAGGTAATGATTCACAAATTACTCCTATGTGTATCATGTGAATGTACCACACTTTCTCAATCCATTTTATTGTGGTTGGGCATTTGGGCTGTTTCCATGTTCTTGTGAAGGTAAATAATGCTGTATTTCTTAATACTTCTTTAAGAAACTAGAGCTAGAGTCAAGGATTGGAGTATGGGAAATTTATTTGGAAGATGATTCCTGGAACAAGAAATGGAGGAATGGAAAGAGTGAGCTAGGAAGAAGGAATAGTTAGTACATTGTATCTTAATGAGCTGGTTACCAGTGGCCAGCTGGGGCCCACACTCCAGAAATCCCTAGGATGAGTCATATACGATGTGCTTCCCATCTTCTGCAGAAAGCTGGGGACCAGGGCATTTCCTGCCTTCCTCCCATCTTCTGTTGCTAAGGTTGTCCTAGGGGTGTTAAATAACGCCTGTACACGTCCAGGCTGTTCCTGTACATGGAATAAGTGTGTTTGCCTGTCTTGAGAGAAGACTACATGGGTACCTGAAATGTGCCCGGCGATGTGCATCCTGGCACTGCATACCACATCTGTGCTAAAATCAAGTGCAGCAATGGGATATGGCATGAGGACCATGGCATCCCTCCAGGACCATTTCTATTTTTATCAATTTTGAATGAAAGCTACTTGTATTTGCATTATCTTTAAAAGCTTCAGTTAGTAAACTCATTAACTAATGGCCAAACAACTTATGCTCATCTATGTGCCTATTTTAATCTGGGTGTGCAGAATACCTCCTCTGGTCAGGATCTTGGCCAAAATTCCTCTGCAACAGGCAAGTCTGTGGCAAAATAAATTTTTTATATAAATACTGATTGACCTTCAACTTCCATTGCCATTTTGGAGATGGCCAAGTTCATTTTATTCATCCCATTTTTTTTTTTATCTTGGATACTAATTTGATTAATCTTCAAATCAACTGTCAACTTAGTATGTTCTCTGATCTGAAACTCTCATTCTCAGTCATTAGGAGGCTCTCAAACTTGGTGTAACTGTATGAGTTCTTTAAAACAGAACTTAAAAACAAACAGCAAACAAATAGACACATAAACCTTCCTGATTCCAATCCCCCCCCCCCCACAAGAACCAAAAATGTTTCTTTCCTCTGGCAACAAACTCACAAGGGACAGGAATCATACACCTTCATCCTTTAGTCATTCATTCAACAAATACTTATTAAACCTGTATTTTTGTGCAATGAACAAAACTCACAAAGTCCCGTTCTTCAATGGGGTTTGCATTCAAATGGGAGTGTGGGGAAGTAGGAATCTTGTGAAGTAAAAGAAATAGGGTAATGGTCATCCTTATCAAGGTAGCAAAGAAATGCAAGCCAGCACCTACTATACAGTAATTGTTGTTGTTATGTGCTGGTAAGTCAAAATTGACTCATAGCTGACCCTCCAGCAGGTTTTCAGAGGCTGTAAATGGCATGGGAAGAGACTGCCTATCTTTTCCCCAAGGAGCAGCTTGGATTCAAACTGCTTGCCTCTGGGTTGGGAAAATAACTCTTTGCCTACTAGGCTACCATAGCTCCCTAATTGTACAGTAAAGTATCTACAGATGTTATTTTTTCCCCTCCATTAGCTAAATGAATGAAAACATTCATTTTAGGCTGTTCCCTAAAATAGGTGATCATTAAAATATATTAAATCACAAATATTTTAATGCTTGTCGGCATGAAGAGAATATTTCACATTCTAACTGCTCTTTTGCACAGACAATAAGAAAAGGAGATGCACTGTATTTGAAACCCTGAGGGTTTGTTTCTAGTTCTGGTTCTGCCAGTGATTAATCCTTGATTTTACCAAACCATTTGGATCTAAATTTCCTCAACACCTACGGCAGCGGTAGCCGAGATCCAAGGCACTTGACAACTTCAGTTCCTCAGTGCCATATACAACCATTGATAGTCATGTACACAATGTAATTACACATTCAGAAAATCACCTTTCTCAAGAAAGGTGATCCAATTGAATTTGGGAACTATCAAACAATATAATTAATATCATACACAAACAAAATACTGCTGGAGATAATTAAAAATGGCTGGAACAGTACATAGATAGGGAACTTCCAGAAGTTCAAGAAGGATTTAGAAGAGACCATGGTGCCAGGGACACATTGCTGATGTCAGATGGATCCTGGCTGAAAGTAATGGAAGAATGTCTATTTGTGCTTTATTGAGTATGCAAAGGCATTTGACTGTGTGGATCATAACAAGGTGTGGCTGTCATTGAGAAGAATGGGAATCTCAGTGCTCATGTGAAACCTATACATGGACCAGGAGATTATTGTGCAAATAAAAAGAACACTTAATGGTTTAAAATGAAGGAGGGAGTATGTCACGGTCTTAATCTCTCTCCATACCTATTTAATCTGTTTGCTGAGCAAATTATTCAAGAAGCTGGGCCCTTTGAAGAGGAATGTGGCATCAAGTTTAGAGGGAGATGTATCAGTAACCTGTGTTATGCAGATGACTCAAACATGTCATCTTATTGAAAGTGAGGAGGACTTGAAGCACTTGCTGCAGAAGATTAAGGAATGCAGCTTTTGGTATGAATTGCATCTCACTGTCAGGAAAACAAAGATTCTTACCACGGGCTGATAGTCAACATCATGATGGAGGAAGGATAGATTGAAAATCAACAATTTAATCTTCCTTGGATCCACAATTAACACCCTTAGTAGCAGCAGTCAGGAATTAAGGAGATACACTGTATTGGGAAAATGTGCAGTTAGGGACCTCTCCACAGTATTGAGGAGTAATGATATCAGTTTGACTTAGATGTGTCTGAGTCAAGTCACAGTCTGTTCACTTGCTATATATCTGAGAACTGGGCAATGAATAAGGATGACAGAAGAATTGATGGTTGGAGAGGAGCACTGAACAGCCCATGGACGGCCAAGAGGATGTACAGCTGTGTCTTGGACAAAGTACAACTGGAATGCTTTTTAGAGGCAAGAATACTGAGGATTTGCCCCACATACTTTGGACATGTTGCTAGGAGGTGCTATTCTTTGGAGAGGGACATGATGCTGGGAAAAGTAGAGGGTCGGCGAATGAAGAGAAAGACCTTTGACCAGGTGGACTGATGCAGCAACTGCCACATGAGCCTTGTGTGTCAGGAAGACTGAAGACAGCACAGGATAGGGCAGGGTTCAGATCTTCTGTTCATATGGTCACAATTAGTAATACTTGACTTGACAGCACCTAACAACAACAACACAATGTAAAATAAAAATAAAAAATCCAGCTATGTACAGAACCAAAGCATAATTTTGGTTTTAGAGTTGAAACAACCAAAGAATTCTCAAGACAGACCCCACTCATGTGCCCCTATCACCTGTGTTTTTGGCCAGCCACATAACGGAAGAAGAATAAATGAATCCACCCTCAAAATTTGAAACAGAAAGCAAAACAAGCCAAGCATGCACTAATTGAAGAATAAATCCCCAAACACAATCCACAACTGTAGTTTAAAAAGAAACTAATTTGAAACACATTCTATTTGCTTAAACTTAGTACTGTTTATTCTGTTTCCTTTTAAGTCCATATGAATAGAAATGCCCGCATTATCCTCTCATTTTAAATAAAAAAGAAGAAATTCATGGTTGTGGTGCTAATAAGGTGGAGTGTGTACCCACAGATGGCACCTTGATAGGATGTAGTCCAGGAAAGCTATGTTGTTCTCTGCCTGCCTCTTCTTCCTGTTTTCCATCTTCATTCTTGTAGTCACATACTTTTCCCCATCTTTTACAGCTAAATATGTGAAGTTAAGTGCAATCGCAGGTAACTTTGAGGTGGCTTACAATGATTCCTGCCTACTGATCTCCATTTGGTTGTTAGCGCACCACTGAGTCAACTCCAACTTATGAACAACAGATGAAAACCCTGTCCTATTCTGTGCCATCCTTACAATCCCTGCTGTGCTCCAGCCCTGTGCTGAACTCACTATGTCAATCCATCTGGTTAAGGGTCTTCCTTTATTTCTCTGACCCTCTGTTTTTTAACCATGAGGTCATTTTCCAAGTACTGAACCCCTCCTGACAATAAGCTCAAAGTTTATGCAATGAAGTCTTACCATCTTTGCCTCTAAGGAGCATCGTGGGTGTACTTTCTGATATATATTAGGACTGTGTATTTCCTCCAGTTGAGTAACCTGCCTCTAACCAATAGGTTATGGCATCATTTAGAGGCAATGACTTTCATTATTAGCTCTCAAAATATCGTGACTATCATTTTACTATTAGCTTTTTTTTTCTTGGTTGTTTTGACAAAGCATGTTGCTATGCTTGTGAGATCTACATTACATACAACTAAGAAGAGCCTCTGGCTACAAGCCATCAAGAGTTAAGGCCTTTAGCCTAACAATCCTTCATGAACT